CATTAGCATGAAAAAGGATTGGTCTCCCCATTTGACCAGGCGATGAGAGTTGTTCAGACATATTTGACAGGTGTTGTTCTGCTTCCAAAGCCTCCTTCAGAGCACGGTGATATCCAGTTCTCCCTGAGCTACAATGACTACCTGGGCCGTCTCACGGTGGTGGTTCTGAGGGCGAGGGGATTAAAGCTCCAGGAGGAGAGCCCTGCTGCTGGTAAGTGGGATTTCCTCCCTGCTATCAGCTCCACACTTCCTGTTTTAATTTGCTCCTTCCTCATCTGTACACCCAGGCTTGTGCTGTGGGACTCTGACAGGAACAAATAAACATCCTGGTGATTTAAGTGGAAACAAGCTATATTTTGCCCTGAGGCAATTAGATTTTGATAGCTTAGCTTTTCTATGTTTGGGGTTCGTTTCATAATAAAAGGTTTGTCCTGTGGCAATCGGTGGTAACATTTTTCTCCTGTTTTTGTACAGTGAGCAACATCCTTTTGCTGCTCTCCAGTCCACAGAAGGCAGCATTTCAGGGGATATTGACATGAACAGTTGCCTCCAGTCAAATTCTCATAGCTAACAGCTGCAGGACAACTGCTTATGCTGAACAGCTGTCCTGGGAGGAACTGAATTGGGAGGAAAAAATCCCAGTTTAGGATAGCCTGGCTACTGTTCAAAGGACCACGGCATGGAGTCACAATTTTCTCCCTTAGTGCAGAGGGCTTCTTCTGGTACATAATACTCATGTATCCCTGCTCTCAGAGAGTACATGAAAATGCTGTTTAAAATCTAACACTCAAAAGCAAAAACAGATGAAGAATCAAACTTGTAGTTCAGTCTGTAGTAATTTCTTGCAGGGCTTTGAAGCTAAACAATATAAATGCAAAATACACCTACCATTTAAAAAGAGAAGAGGTATAGTCCTCTATATACAAACATCACTATGGAGTTTTTTTTGACTGAACAAATTAAGCCTTCAAAAAAGTCTCCATCAGACGAAGGGAAGGCACAGAAACATAAGATCAAGGATGCAGGGTAAAAATATGGCTGCTTATTTTAACAGCACTTAAATTGTAAAGTGCACTGCAAAACTGCACCCTCAGTACTCTGTGTACTCCGTTTTATGTCATGCTGTCATGTGTGTTCCATGAATCTTTCACAATCTGATGTTATACTCAATACTGACTCCCAAAAGGAAAAAAATCCTTAAGCCATCTCCCAACTGCTTCTTGAAGATGTCTTTTAGACTTGAATTTCTTTTTCTCCAAGGTGTGTATGTCAAAGTCTCACTAATGAACCATAATAAATTCATCAAAAGTAAAAAGACAGCAGCTCTTCTGGGAACTCCCAATCCTGTGTACAATGAAACCTTCAGTTTCAAGACAGATCAGACAGAGCTGGATACAGCAAGCCTGAGTCTATCTGTGCTCCAAACTATCAAAGGAGAAAGTAAGTTATATAAATTATTACAGTCATATAAATTATTACAGTCATATAAATTATTACAGTCAAGGTGTCAGATCTCTTACATATTTGAGACATGTTTAAACCTGAGAGGAAGTAATTCCTTTTCAGCAATAATCATAAAACTTGTAAGAGTTTTGGGGTATTTCAAAGGCTGTCTCTTTAAAAGTAGAACAACTTGTTTGTAGTTAAACACATGTCTCTCTTTCAGATGCTCAATTTCATAGAAGACATGAATAAAATCACTGTAGACTAGTCAATGCCACTACAAGGTGCTGTGCCTTTGTTTCATTTCAGTATCCCATTAAAACAAGCTTATGTGAACATTTGTGTGTAACACAAAGCCTGCAAAACTGTGTGGCCGTTCACTCTTTCTAAGCAAATCTGAAAGATGAATAGGAATTTTAATTCTCTCAGCAGTGAGAGATTAGCAGACATCCCCATTCCTTGGCAGAACACTTGATGCTTGAAGCCACCTCTTACTGTCAGAGAATCCATTAAGGAGTTCTGCTTACAGAAGCAAATCAGAATTCAGTATTTCCACTGCTCAAAAGAAAAACATCTCTGCAGTGCAAATATGATCTCAATAATTTTCCCCATTCATAGCTGAAAAATCCAGGCATGCATAAACAATCTGGTCCTTGGCAGTGGCAACACACATATCACAGCTCCCAGCTGTCTCAGTAACTGCATTTGTTTTTTGCTAAGCCAGAGCATCATGTGAATCCTACTGAGGCTGCTGATGGCCAAAATTAGGCATTACCCCCTGAGGTAAAGGGGCAGGGCAGATACAGATCAGATATTTATGCCTTGAAGATGTTTAGTTTAACTGCAGGCAAAAGGACAGGCCTGCATTGACCAAACACCCACTTACTGCCATACCTTTTTTAATGCTGAGCCTCAGCAGGTAGAAGCTACAGAACCTGAAGTCCAGAGTTATTTCCTTGAGGAATATTTTGGTTTAAAAATACCTTTCAGAAAAGGCATTACTTGGAGAAACACATGTTGATATTCTAATTTAGGCAAGGTTTTCAGAGAAGCATCACAGGTGCTCATCACTAACTGCTTTCTTTATTTCCCAGAAACACTTCTGCTGGGACGAGTAGTAGTTGGGCCTTTCATGTACACACGTGGCAGAGAACTAGAACACTGGAATGAGATGATCAGCAAGCCCAAGGAGCTGGTTAAACGATGGCATGCTCTCTGCCACAGCACATGAACAGCATTGAGAAAAAAACCAACCTTAACATGGAAAAGCTCTTACTATCTATCTTTCTCATCTAAAGGGTACAAAAATTTTTGCTAAGGTTTTGTACCTGAAGAAGAAAAGAATAAAATAAATTATTTCCTTGACCAAACACAAATAAAAGATTTGGTCCCTGATAGGCTGGGAGTCCCTCTTTCCTCTCTTCAAAATATATGTTAAATTAACAAGCAGCTGAGCAAATAAAACAGCCAAATGTGATCTCTCAGTATTAATTACTTTGACTAGTAAATTACACTTCTTGGTCATGAGTTCTGGGCACAAATGATCACACATCATGTAAACAGAGCCCAAAACGACCCAGGAATTGCCAGTGATGACAACAGGCCTATCTGCCCACTGCTCCACATCACCACAGTGGCTTCACCAAAGCGGAGAGAAGCCCAGCGAGCATGCCAAAACAGACAAGCCCCAAAGACATTGACTAATACATGCACAACTTGTTTTAAATACCATGCTGCTATTTTAGACCTCTTTTGAACAGAAAGGTGAAGGCACTGCTTATTGGTCACACACCTGGAAGCAGCTGTTCACAGTGTATTTCCTGCAGCAACTCAGTTCAACGTTTTCAGCTGACCCCGACTACAGCACTTTGTGTTGACACTAAGGGACAAGTAAAGAAGTCACGGAGTCACAAGTGACTGGAGGCTATTCCAGTGCTGGAGTACTTTGAGACAGTAAGATGAGGACCTGTCCTGTCCTTTTATATTTCTCTATAAACACATCTCTGCTGGAGACAGAGCATTGATTACAAGAGCCTTGGTTTGACCTAGTATGACCATTCTTACACTGAAAATCCAATTAGCCTAAGCCCCCTGGGCATGTGTCTGTTTTAGTAGTAGAGTCTTCTTCATTAAGTAAATGACTTCTCTCTAAAGTAATTTGGAGCAATTATTCCTAATCAAAATAAAATAGGACATTCTTCTCTTTTTGATTGTTCACTGGGGACCTGAGCTCTGTACCCTTCTAACTGTACAGTCATAAACCAGACACACAAATTACTGCAGCAAAACAGTTTGCACAATCATGTTCCATAACTTCTACAGCTGAAATCAAACCAACTTCCTTTCAAATAGGATACAACATTAATTAATGCAAAATCTTAAAAATATTAGGCTTCTCTGGGGAGATGAAACCACTTTCCATTTTGATAATATTGTTATTACCTAAAGGAAATGTTATGAATGAGAAGATACCACAGAGGAATTGTAAGATAACAGAGCTCCCTGATCCGCCATCTGGTATGTTACATAGTACACTCAGTCTGTCTTGCTAATTACACCACTGGATACAAAATGAGCCTAAACTCATTACATGAAACTGAATTTAACAAACTGCTCAACCCTCGTTATATCTTTGCTAAAGGAGTAATACCAGCAACTCAACCCCAAAGAGCTGTATTCAAACATTAGCCCCACAAAACCAATAAGCAAAGTTATTGTGTTTGTTCTGGGGAGAAAAACTACTCAGTTATCATGCAGTTTACATATTTCTAGAATAAAGTATTTTAGTAAATAAATTTTGTATTTTATTATTTCAACCATACCATTAAGGATCTTAAAAGGAAGCAGTTAGTAGTATTTCAGACAGTTAGTTGAGGAGCTTGTGCAGAAGATGCATGCAATGCACAGTGTCTGTTAACAAATACCCCCAAGGTGGCAAGTCACCTGTCTGACCTGATGTACAGTATGGTCCTCTTTTCTTCTTATCCATTAAAGGAACAATACATCCAGCTTGTGTGCTCAGTAATTTCAGCTAAATTGTGAAGAAACAAATTCTAATGCACTTACTAATGTACTTGTACTCATGGTCATCCAAGTGAAGCAAATGAGAAAGGCCCTTTTTGACTCTACCTGAACAAGAGTTATTTCAAAGCAAGAAACATCATCAAATTAGAAGTTCTGATACAGTGTTGTTAACTGTCAAGCAATTTTTTTACCTCCTGCCTTTTATGTAACATCCATCTGATCTTGTGCTTGAGACTTACCTTGAGCTGAAGGAGGTAGAATGATTACAAGACAATTCTGTTTAACAAGAGAAAAGAGCAGCAGCAAAACTGCCAAGGGTAAATGGAAAAAAATCTGCTATTAAAAAAAGGAAAGTAACCACAACAGCAAAAAAAAATCAGCAAGCTACAGATAGCATATGGGATAAGACGAAAAAATTGTGTAACTAAAATATTATTGAATTTTCTGTCTTCCTCTAATATGCCAGGTCTCAGGAAAATTCAGTCTCTCACAACAGTTGTGAACTTTTCTGAGGAGAAAAAGGAAAACAGATATGGAAGAAATTGTTGGAATTTATTAACGTAATTATTAACATAAAAATGCATGTATAAAAATATATTTTATGAAAATTCATCAGTATTACTCCAGCAGTATTTACTATTAGCAGATATTCCATACCAGTCCTTTTGATGGTTTTGCTTTTTTCATAAGTTAAAACCCAAATCCTTTATTATAATGTTTTAAAGAGATTTGCTTCCTTCAGCTAAGTCATCTTTCTTCTGCTTCCCATCTGTGTGTCCTTATGGTCTTTGTTACTCAGTGCAGAGGTCAAAGATCAGGATGAAAATTCAGCAGATGGAAGTCCTTTTGCAAAGGATAGCTGTTCTCATCTAGCACGAAGTGGCTTCTGATTTCCAACACATAGAATGCTTCTGTATCTGCCAGCAGTGAATGACACAGATCTGCTACTATTGTGCCATAGGTTATATCTGAACAGGGCACTGCAAAACACAAAACAATTCAATTCACACTTGATTTTCACAATAGCAGGTAACATTCAAGTTCTACCAACATGAAGCTCCATTGAATAACTGGAAGTGAAGTTCAACATATGAATAGAAAATTAGCTTTTATTTTTAATTACTTTTTAAAAACTGTTTCTCATTAAACTGTTAACCCCCGTGAATCATATAAAACACCTCAAGTCAAACAGGATGTATCAAGTGAAGCTTGTCTGAAACACATCTCAGCGTTTCACATCATGAAAGCATGCTAGCTCCTTGTAAAAGCTCCTAAGACATTCTATTTCACACATAAGGAACCTATTTAGTTATTGAATATTTAGGTAGATAACTATAACTACTTAGTTATATAATAGGTATTCACATCATCTCACTTCCTTTATTGCAACCTGTCCTCTGAAATTCTGAGTTTGTCAGACAGCCACTGAAATATTCTTTGATGTTGTTTTTTTTACAGTGTCAATGATTAAAAAATTTCCTTCCATTGTGAACTTTGTTGCATGTTTCTATCACAAGTAATTAATAAATCAGTACCTACTAATCTCTTCAGCCAGTCTGCAGGAATATTGAGGAAGATTTTTTCCACCAACTCAGACACCACATGAACATAAATTTCATATCCTTCATCTTCTACTGTCATCAAAGCAGGTCTACATCAGAAAACAAAGTTTCATGAAGTCAGTTACTATGCTTTGTTTTCTATTGAAGCAAAATTTTAGAAAGCATTACAATTTAATCTTACTCTGCAACATAATACCAAGAAATAGAAAAATGATAAAATCTCTATGTGCTCATGTGTCAAATCTAGCACTAGAACAAGTCTGAGCAATAAATAAGGAAATAGCCTTAAACGGAGACAGGACACTCAGACTAGACACTAGAAGGAAAATTTTCACTGTTAGGATGGTCAGGATTGCCCACAGAGGAGGTGGTGGAAATGCAAAGTGGGGACATAAACTCAGGTGTATCACTTGGAATTGTACCATCTGTATCAACATCACCCTGTTATCTGTCTTAATACATCACTTTATAGCCACATAATACCAAGGTATATCTCTTGTATTGTAACAAATACCAAATGTTTTCACAAACCACTGAACAAATAAAAATCCCTATTTGGAAATACTCCCAAAGTGATGCATTCTTACCAAATAAATCAGAAGAAAATTTCAGTGCAAAAATGTCAGGCTTTTCTCTGAAAAAAGGGAAATATAAATTCTACATCTAGATGTGTTCCCATGCTGAGAATACAAACACTGGAATTCCTTATCATTTTTCTACCATCTTTTGTGCAGGAGCAAATTGAGGTCCTTCATGGCCACTGAGATTTTATAGTCTTATGAAGACTGGCAGATAAATAGCACATAAACAGACAAATAGCACATAAAGATGCAAGACTATTTTGCTTAGAGGAAAAATACTAAGTCACTACCTGGTTAGATAAATAGGATATTTAAGTCATAGTTCATTAAGTAATAGTATTTAAGTCAATGATTCATTAAGCTCATTATGAAAGAGTTTAGAAGAATTTAAGAAAAAATTTAGATAGAAAATTTACATATTCTAGAATTCTATCACGTCCATAGTTGGCTCAAACATTCTCTAGCTACACGTCTTTCTAGTCACAATGATAATTATATTTCAAAAGCCCAAGATAAATGTGAGAATTGAACAATTAGTTAATAAAGATGTACCTACATCAACTAGATCCACTTAGTTTATTTTCTCTAAGTGTGAATATGTGTCTCACAGTGCCATCTGGTGATAACTCACTACCTCTGCTCTCTGAGAATGTTTATTGAAAACATTTGTCAATATAATTTCTGCACAGCTGAAACGGACTAATTAGTTAAAAAACATGGTTCTGCATTCACGTGATTTCAGATTTAGGCTGGAACAGGATTCTCAAGCTTTCCTTTGGTCCTCAAGCTTCTACTCCATCTTAGCCTTATCTGACACAGTACTGGGTAAACATCACTCCTGCATGATATAGTATTCAAAGAAATTAAAAAGTTAGACTTAAACTAAGAATAGCATGTATAAATGATGACGATATAATACAGCAATTCAAGAACAACAACTTGAAAATTCATTAGAGAGACAGGGATTGCTAACCACATCTTAAACAAAAGAATTTTAGATATGGGGGAAATGAAAATGGAGAAAGTTTATCTCCATAATAATACACACTACTTTAGCTCTATTTTGTTTACCTGTAGAATGTTTTTACTTTACTGTATGGCAGACATCTAATACATTGCTTGTAGATCATGTTCTCATCTGCCTGTAGCTCCAAACCACATTTGGCACAACCTGAATATGTAATCATAGGCAGAGAAGCCAAAACACATTCCAGTGAAGTGTCAGCAGAGAAGATGAGTTGCTTGTACTGACCAGTGGAAATGGTAAACTGCAATTCCAAGATGTGGGCTTTCACTTGAACCACTCCTATAAAAACAATTCAAATATGAATTAAGCTTTATTTAGAACTGAAAGCAAAATCAATGGCTACAGCTGATTAAAAACCAAAATTGCTATCAACACCTTTCTTGTTTTTTTCCCCTTTGTTAACACATGCTCAAATTTTTAGAGATATTTTATTCAGTGAAAAATGTGTGTGGGTAAATATTATTTTAAAATGTATAAAAGTACTACATTTTCAGCTACTGTATCAGTAGATGCCACTATAGAAGGTGCCTGAATAAGAGATCAAAATTGTGTGAAGAATTTCCAAGTTATTTTCTTGCCACTGTTTCAAAGACACTGAAAAGCATAGCTTTAACAACTTAGCTTTTCAGTATTTATAGCATAAAACGAGAGCTAAATGCTGCAAGAGCAACCTTAATCACTTCCTAGAATTTAACACCACCCATAGCAATCTTCTGGGTTTATCTGGGAGAGTATGACTGTGTAAAATGTCTTCTTTGTCCTTTTGTCAGAAGTTTTCAATAGCAGTAGCTATTTTACCCTTGTTTTAGAGAGTTCCAGTTTTTGAGAAACACTGCTAAACCTTTAGTCATTAGTCACATTATTACTGGACTGGCTGGTATGGACAACAAAAGTCAGCATTTCTCTCTGTGTTCCAAAGCTGCCTTTGCATGGCACCACACACCACACCTATCTCTCTGCTGGGCTCATGGGACGAAGGCTGCATTCAGTTTGGCCAAGTACAGGGCAGCAGCCTCCAGAAAAAAATTCAGAACCAGACCTGGGCTACCTTAAAAAAACAACCATCTTGCTTCATTAAGAGAGCATCCATTTTGCTAGATATTCCAGAGCCATGCATAACATTTACCTGAGCATTTTTCTTCCAGGTGTGCCGAGAGCCTTGTCAACCCCATGAGGGATGTTTGACTTTTCTGAAACTTTTCTTTAAATTCAACTGCCCTTTTGTCATCATCAAACAAGCACTCATAGGATGACCATGGAGTTGTGTGCAGTTCCAAGTCACCTGAGACAGAACTACAGTGGACCAAAAGGTATTTGAAGTCCCATATGTGGTCTACAGAATAAAAAAGCAAACAGAAGAGTTTACTTTCTATACCGTGGTTAATTTACAGAAAGCCAAGGTCACTTACAAGATTTAGAAACAAATCAGAGGGCATTCTCATATGGTCAGCTCTGGCAACTTCATTTTAAGTGTGATGACATGTAAGGTTTTTCCTTTCCCTATAAACTTTGCATGAGTTGTCCCAGAAATTTCATTACACCTCTACCAAATTCAGCTGTCAAGACAGCTCAGCCTTTTGAAAAACAAATCAGCTCTGAAATTTGTTGTCAGCTCTAATGCTAGCAATATCTCAGAGAAAAAAATCTTCATGTAATTAACCAACTTCCATATTTTAATATGTCCCTGTTTTTTAATCTTCTATCTCCACAATTATCAATTTAACATAAACCTAGTTTAGCTTTTCTTAAAAGAACAAGACTAGGAATAAACCAAAGTTTGGTAGTAGTCACTGTTGAAACACAGTCTATATAATTCTTGTACGTGATACTTTTACTTAGTTACAGCTGGACTTCATCTCAAGATCATCAGGATATAAAGCCTGACATGAGTAAAGTGGAAAGCAGAAAATGAAAAAAGGAGTAGGAAAAACCCCAGCAATTCATGCTACACCAGACAATGATAAGGAAGACCCAGTAACACAGTTAACACTCATAGATTTTTATAGTTACATAACCAGGCACTATACAAGTAAGTGCATCTTGTATATAGATTTAAGTTTTTAAGTATTTATGCCTTCTCAGTTTTCTGCTGCTGATGGCACTGCTTCTACAGAGGAGTTATGTTAGAATTAGCACAAAATACATTACCCTTCCAAGGGGAGTATTTAAAGGTTGAATGGATAAATGTTGCTAGCTGAATACTGAAAAGGCACTAACAGCATCACAAAAATCCTTTTAGACCTACCAACAGGTCCAAGGACCTTACCTTTTTTCCTCTGAAGCTGGGGGTACCAGGCAGCCCCTGCTCCCCACAGAACCATCCTATAGTGTTGATCTCTGTTCTGTTCTACTGTTAGAATAATTTTTCTTTGGCTGCCACCTCTGTAGCTGTACAGAGATTCTGAAAATATTGAAATTACATTTACTTCTACATTAAAAAGCATTTAAGCACACAAACCCCATGTGACTCAGTATTACAGTGAAATCATGGTGTTAGCACATTTTATGCTACAATTAAAAGCAAAGAACACACCTATAATTTCTTCTGGACAGAAAAGAACCTGCTTTCTTCTGCAACAGGAATCTAGTTTGAGGGAGTACATAAGGTATATTAATAAACTTTTATCCATCTAAGTACTCAGTAACTGGACAACTCCCTTTGAAGCAGGAGGTATCTGAGCATCTTTCATCTCCCATTCCTCCTGACTTGTCTTGAGTAGAAAGAAATGGCACTCAATCTCTCAGCAACTATTGTAATTGCAAGTTCCCAGAACTTCTGTAGAATACAGTGGTAGAAACATTTCTCTAGAAGTTTTCACATTAAAGAAAATTGCAGGCACAATGTGTACAAGTCAAATTAAAACTATTAGTAACAGTACATACAAATCTCTACACAGCTCTTCTCCAGGACACTGAATGTTTGTTTCAGTACCACACTAAAACTACTATTTTTCAAAAATAATTTTTCAACAAGAACACTTGGATGGAATACCTAATTATTATCTAGTTCCAAGATTAACATACTAGAGCAAATTTTGAAGAGTTCTACTTCAAAATTCTGCATTTAAAACTAATAAACATGCTATTGATGATGTGGGTAGAAATTTGTATCTTATTTGTTCAAAATGACAGTGCAATGTGATCAAATTTTTGTGCAAAGCTTGAAATCAAGCAGTGAGAAACATTTTGTCTTGCAAAATTACTATTTAAGTTCCAGCTGTTGCAGAAGGTGAAGTCCAGTGCATGAACTTACCTGTTAACACTGAAATATTGATAATTTTCAGGATTGAGTGCACCAAAGTATTTGGCTGGAGCTGATCTAACTGCACATACTGAACATCATCCAGTCTCTGAACTTGTCTTTGTGGAATGTCTCTGAAGTGTGGAAGTTCTGATGATATGTATGCCAATAAGCCATGGAGAACACCAGCATCCACTAGAGGATAAACTTATATGGAAAAAAGGCAAAGTCACATTTTGTTTTTACACTTAGAAGTATAAAACTTATTACTTGGATGTTTCCACTGAAAAAAATTGAAACAGTTTTAGAATAATTTTAAGGTAAGAAATTCCTGATATATGTAACACTTTATTTGAAATTAAACTGTACTTCAGGGTGGTATCAAGAGCAGGCAATGAAGTTAAGCTAAGTGCAACACTTTAAAATACACCAAAAAAACTCTTGTATCATAGCCTGGCAAGAAGAAAGTGTTCTTGATCATTGACCTCAGAACCTGCCTTGAGGGCTGGCATCACAGTAGTGGACATCACAAATACAGTAAGAACAAAGGTGATACTTCCACTGTATTTTCCCCTCAGTCTCCAACCCTCCATGGCCTACAATTGATCACTTTGCCTGAATGGATCTACTTATTCCATTTTGTAAAACATTTAATCTTCATGCCATCTCAGACATCACATGGGCAGGTCCTGGGATAACTGCTCTTTCCTAAACTAAACTTGTTTTCTTTAGGAGTTCAGAGTGGTAGCCACCAAACTTTATCATGATCTCCACATGCCTATCTGATGTCATGTCCACATCTTGTGCTCAGGCGCTCCTGTTGTTTTTCTATTGTGTTTTGTACCTCTCAGTTGCACACATTCCCATTCTATCCCATGTATGAGGTATTGTCAGCAAAATGGAAAATAGCTCTTTTACTGTGGTTTTCATGGCAACTTATGCACTACAATCTTACATTTTTCTGTATTGAGAGCTGAGCAGTTCCCCAGATTCAGTAACTGACTGGTAAATGTTGACTGAAGCATGACCTCTCCACACCAAGGATTCTCATACATTATTATATCTGCAAGAAAAAACCAACTTTATCAACTCACATGTCAACAATATTGAAGCGTACCTTCTTTTTCTTATTTTCTTATTTTTCTTGACTATATAACCGTCTTACATACAGATGTGTAAGGCACAGGGTTTGAAAGAGATCACTTGGAAACACTGAAATTTTTTAATCTACCAACACAATTTACAAAGAGTTAGTAAAATTTTCTCATTAGTTTGATGTAATTCTTAAATTTATTAGCCTCCTAGCAGACACTGCTTAGGTCTGGTTTGTAGTAGCACTTGTACTTTTCAGGAACAACTGTTTTAAAACACTGACACCTTACAAAATATCCTGACTCTCCATGGCTGTGTCTGAGGGCAAACTTCCATGGAATAGTCAATGTTCCACTGGCAGGATGACTGAGAATTCAAATGATGTAAGTGACGTAAGAAAGCAACTTAAAAATGCTTAGCTAAAGTTCCAAATTACTTGTTACATTTTTCTACTTTAAACAGGCATTTTTAAGATCCATATTTTAAAAAGGCAACCAGAAGAACTCTCACCTGTAAGGAGTACGATATCCCCAGGGAACACAGTGAGGGACCAAAATGCAGCACCACGCCACAGCACCACCTTCCTCTCAGTTTCTGACTGGTCAATAACAACAATTGTTGCTACAGGAACTTTACAGGAAGATTTTGGTTCTGTCTTCTTCTGTATTTCTTTGATATGACAAGGATGTACAACTGTAACCAAAATATTGTACTTTTGATTTTTGTTGCAGCAATTCTTAAGCAGTGATAATTTCTTTTGGAATTTCTTGAACTCTGCCATCCTGTCTGGATCCACTCTCACCCCAGAACCAGGTGGAGAAGAATTCAGTTTAGCTCTCTTAGATTTCAGTTGTCTTTTAAATGCTGAGTGAGAAAGATGAAAGGAATCTTCATGTTTGCGGGGTCTTTTAGAAGAGTTCTTGTGAGAACTGTTTCCTTGAGAGCACAGTATTCCAGAGCTCAATGGCTCAATATGGATTTCATTTACAAGTTGCTCAGGAGGAACAATAAGTTCTTGAAACTTTTCTGCATTTTCCTGGGCACTTTCTTCCTGTTTTGTAGCTTTAATGGAAACATTTTCCCCATCATCCTCAGAACTGAAAAGTTCAAGAGAACTTGCATCCTCTTCCTCATATTCATTTTCAGTCACATTAGTAGTACATGTTCCAACACCAGAATCACATTGGAAGTGATCATACTGTCCTTCTTCAGTTTTTTTGCCTGCTTCTATTTCTGATAGTTTTACAATACTTTCCTGCATCTCATTCTGTGCAAAAACAGCCACCTGACTCAAAGTCACCACACTACGAAATTCAGTGTCTGCTGACACTGCAAAATCTACGGAGTCATTTGGTTCTTCTGGTTTGGACTCCTGACCTTTTTGGGAAAATGTATCCTTACATTGACTTAGATGTTCATGATGCTCACTTCTGTGAGCTGCCTGAAGTCCCACAGACTGCAGATGGATCCTGACCTGCTCAGTGCTGGCAACCAAAGCAGAAATGTCAGAGCTGTTAACTTCTGAAGGGTGGGCTTTTCTCTCAGTGAGCTCTGGGCAGCAGGCACCTGATGGTTTCTCCAGCCCAGCTGATTCTGCACAGCCCTGGGGCAGGTCTTGATGTGCAGCCTGATTTACATCTGCAGGTGTAAATCTATCTTTGGATCCTTGACAATCAGAGCGAGTTAAACCTGTGCTGTTTTTAGGCGTGCTGGTACAAGGTAGTGCCACAGGGGCAGGAGATGTCGACTCCTTTCCTGGATTTGCCATGCCCCTGCCCTGCTGAGTGCTGTCCCCACTGGCAGGGGCTCCTGGGGGTGTGCAGCTCTGTGCCTGGGGCAGCGGGGAGGCAGCAGCAGCCCCGAGCTGTCCCCAAACAAACCCACGGCTCTCACACCAACAGCGCAGCTCCCTCCATGCCTCACCCCTGCGGGCTGAGCTTGGCTCTGACCCCCCCAGTGGGCTCGGAATACTGGGTGCTCCCACAAAAATATGGATTTGAGGTCTTTTTGACATTTTTGACTGCTGTGTAAGTTTGACTTTAAATAATGTGGTTTATGCAATAAGCACAATAATAAATATTAGCAAATGCAAAAAAAAAGGATTTTACTTTTTCTTTTCAATTTTAAAAATACCTAAAATTCATGAGAGTATTTCATTGTTTAACTGGTAAATACACTACTTAACTACTTAAAGGCTATAAAAATAGATGTACAAAATCTAAAAAAGGGAAATTATTTCAGAAATACTTAACATTTATTTCTGTCAAATTTGCACAGAAAAATAAATTTACATCAACACCTAGTTCCTGATTCTGATATATGAAAACACATTATAATGAAGTTAAAATTAAGTTTAATTATAGACCTATTTGTCTTCATTTACTATTGCTAATTAAACAGTCAAATGTGACTTCACTATTCAGTACTTTATTTTAACTCATCTAAAATAAATGTAAGAAATATTCACAGCATAGTTAGGAGATCATTTAATCTCCCAGAAAATTACAGTTTCAAGTAAATGGTTAAAAGTTTGCGAAAAATGCAATATTTTACATGCTGTTTTGGCATGAAACTAGTGTTTCAGGCTATTACTGATAAATAATAATTATTTAATAACCACTAAGAGGTCAGTAAAGCTCAAGCAGGTGATTTAGGATTTGCTTTAATTCATTTATCTAGTATCAAACTACTCAAGAAATTACTAGCTTTTCTAGATAATTAAAAATAAGTCCACTTACACAGCACACAAAAAGATGACCTTTTATTTTTTAAAATTTCTGCTGTATAATTATAATTTTAATATATGCAGAAACAGCTATAACTATTCCCTAAAATGCTGATTAGAGCTACTTGTTTTGGGAATGCTGTTGCTAATAGAAGTTGCTTCAATATGCAATTCTGCAGATGTAGAGAACACCAGAAAAAATTCAAGAGCTAATCCAGCTGTAAATAGAAGGAAAAGACCATTAAAACAAATGCAGCATTGAAAAAATAGGCAATTTTTTCATTTAGCACTAATTAAGTTAGTAACCATTTTCTTAACAACCCCACTAGGGGTCAATAAATCTGCACATTCATAAGGCTCATTGTAACATGGAAAAAACAAACACGCCAGAATCTCTGGTATATCATTGCTGTCACTAGAAAAGCAATATACAATCACTAAAATTAGATAGGGCAAAATACAAAGAAGCTAAAAATCCAGTAACTGGTATTGTTCACTTTTATCCTCATAATAAAATAAATGCCATTTAAAATATTGGAGTATCCAAACTTCTGCAGTTGTACATTTAAATTTAGTCCCAGAAAATGGTAACTCTTAAAGGACAATACCCAAAGCTGTGAAAGCTTTAAGTTATATACAGAATGGAAATATATAAATAACCAGAATAGAATTTACAGTCAACACTAAAGTAGTGGATCAGTTAAGAGAAAGACTAAGCAAAGTGATAGTGAGGTTGAATCCCTAAAGAAGTGATGTTAGTAAGTTTTATAGACAAAAGGCTATAATACATGATATAAAAAGTTTAGTAACAGCTCTGTGAAAAATAGAAAATATTACTATCAGTTCAAATGAACTTAGTAAATGTCCAGTTATATAGTAATTTATCAACTCCTCATTTTAAGTATTGCTTGTTGACATGCTTAAAGGTATACAAGTTACACAAAAAATCAGAAAGTTTTCCTTAACTTTCCAATTCTGTAACTTCTCTAGACTTAGGATTTGCTTTCCTGATTCAAATTTTGCAGTGCCAGTACATTAAAGCTAGGCTGGATGAGGCCCTGAGCAACTTGGTCTAGTGAAACATGCCCATGGCACAGGGTTTGGTACTTGATGGTTTTTAAGAGCCTTTCCCACCTGAGCTGTTCTATGATTCTACGATCACACCAAAGGAATTGAATATTGCTGCTATTTAATGAATGTTTGAAATGAAAGTATAGCTTATATTTTCAAAACATGAATTACCTTAGGAATGGTAAACAACCTCTGCCAACTTTCTGATTCGTGCAATAGGTCCACTACTAAATGACATATTTGGCAATTTCCAAGTGACTTTTTGGGTCAAAGATGTCAAACTCCTTCCTGTACTAGGAATCATCAGTACCTAAAATCATTTAAGTCTGTAAATAAGAAAGAAAAAAAAAAGTTTACCTAAATTCTCTGTATGCAAAAGTGTTTACAGGATCATCGCTTTGCTGCTTTAGAACAGAATTATTACTCACTTCATGAGTTTTGTTAGTGAAGTCCTACACCTTGTTATAAATAAAAGTCTGAAAGAACAACTCACTACAGATTTTAAAAGGTGAGCAAAAAAACTATCAATTATTTTAGTAAAATTCTACTGCCATGAAAAAAATCTATTTTTTACTGTAGTTAAATTATCTGTGGGCAGACAGTGGGTTAACTAACTACACAAAAGATAACAGGAGCTAAAACTCATGAAGATACAACTGAAACCTGAATGCACAGATCCATTATACCCGTTAATTATTACACCATTTCCTAATTTGTGGAAAGGTGCTCTATTCTGAGTAGCCAATGAAAGCCAAGCTTTTTATCTCTGAAATGGTCAGAGTCTGATTGACGGGTCAATGATCTATTAAAAAACAGCAACTACATCAGCAAGTTTTACATTTGCAAGGCACTGCAACTGAGGTTTAATATACAGAAATATATTATGCTACATAGTGTATTTCCTCCAATCTAAACAGTAACACAGAAATTCCAAATTTAAAGGTTTTTAAAATGAATCGTCATTAACAGATTGTTAATATTTCGTGATTTGCTGCACATAGAACAAAATTATTTGCTGCACATAGAACAAAAATAGATTTAAAAATCCTATTCCCTCTAGAAACGTTCTGATGCTACATACATGACCTTAAAGTATCCCGAAAAATACTCATCAACTTTATTCCATCTTTTTCTGCTCATTAATAGTATTCACTCACCATGATAATCATTAAGCATTATGCCAAGGTAATTTAAGAGGGTGACACAGCTTCAGATTCCTATAATTCCTGAATATTCACAGTAGCCACATGCCTAAATCTGTTTTGAGAAGTTACAGCCAAATAGTCTCATCAAGTCTTTACTTAAGCCCTGAACACTAAAAGTAAACCATGCTAATTCAACCTCCAGTTAAGAGTCTATGTCTGTTACACACTACAAAGTTTCAAACTAGAAATAAAAGCACAGAAATAAAAGACAGCAATGCATCAGAAGACAAAGAACTAATATAATGCAAAAGCATACTTTTCCCTCTAGAAACACTAAAATTTTAGGAAACAAACAGTGTACTCTTTTAACTTCCTGCTTTGATTTGCTGCAGCTTGAAGAAAACATTGTATTGTCCTTTACCTGCTGAAAAGCTGGCCCAGTAAGTAACAAATATATAAAGCAGGATATTCCTTAAATTCTAAATTTTGACTTCTGTTTTGGTGTTTACCCTCCCTTATTCACATATGTGACTTTATACTCCTCCTACATGTAGTATAAAAAATTAAAGGATTGATTCATCTACCTTACAACAGAGGAAACTGAATTATTCATAGCCATCTTCAGAGTATTTTGTTTCAGTTCAATTCAAGCAGTAGGGTTATTTGGCTGGGCTTTTCTTTTTTCAACAGCTCTATCCATGTGATAGTGGAGTAGAAAATCTACTAAGACAGTTGCTCACCAAATGGAAACCAGAAAAACTTCTTGATGCAGAATGCTGATTGCATCACAGGAAACTCTGCTGGCACTTTCACCATGCTGCTGAAATCTCCCTCCAAAATTCAACCTGATCTTTTTAAAAAGCCATGTACTGCTGCTGTACAGTAACTTTGAAAAAAGAAACAGCAAGCAGTGTAGTAACAGTTTCATACACTTAGAAACTGAAACAACTCTGGAATGAAGCGATGAACACATTACACATTTGCTTGCAACTTGTGCCAGAAAAAGAAGGGTGATCCTTCTGTCAACAACTCCTGCTGGCACTGCAAGTGGATCAATGTAACAGCAACAACACCTATCTACTAAATCAATAAGCTTGGTCCAAATACATACTGAGAGAAACACAATGGAAAATAAAAACTGACAGAAGAACTCAAGCTAAGCACCTTGTAGCTGAAGCAAACTTGCTCTACATCAAAGTGAGGGATGTATCATGTGGGCTTAAAAGAAGATTATATGTGTAAGTGAATGGCAGCTCAAGGAGATTTATGTGGCTTTCAGTGGCCAAGGCTGGTGGGACCTAACAAGAACTCAAGGGAACGCAGATGTGGGAGAACATACATGCACACATGGACAAGAGGGGAAATGAACAGGATAGGTCTTATTTCTGTCATCTATGGTTTGGTTATTGTTACAATCACCAAATACCTTTTATCTGAATTTTAATACAAGGTTTCAGGCAAAGACTGTCCATAACTGACCTGTCTAACCAAATGCAATTTTGCCCAGGATGATTATTTAGCTCACATAATAACACCATGTTAGCACATGGAATGCTGTGCACAGAGGCTGCTGTCAACCAGACCTGGTGGTACAGCAAGAACCCTGCTAGTTTACATCAAAACTGATGAAAATCACAAACCTTCATGTGCCTACAGCAGTATCTGTAATCTGTAATACTTCTAATTGAGGCACTTAGGTTATTATTGACCATAAAATAATTTCTATTAGTACTTACTATTGAAGTTAAATAGCAGCAATACTAAAGTAGTGGATTCCATTCAGTATTTTAGTTCTTCTCACTGGCTATCACCAGAGTACTGCAATACCATTTGGACTCAAGATAGGTACAGCTGGTTTACAAATACATAAAACCTGTATTCAGCAATACATAGCCATAAAACATGAGGTATCCATTTTTTTTTTCCATTTTTGGAGCACTTGCAGTAACAAGATGATTTTTAGAATACAGAACACCTATGGTTTAGGTAACACAATAGAGACCTTCCTAAATATTCCTGCAGCAGCAGGGAAATAATTTAAACCAGAAATCAATGTTCTAAGCTTTCAATAGCCTGACACTGTAAAAAATGTTAAATCAAAATACTGAGTAAGAGGAGGCAAGTTGTTCTTCATAACTATTACTGAACTACTAATATATAAAAAGAAGACAAGCAATCAAATGGCATTGCTATTGCTAATATGTAATGGGTACCTACTTGCCTGCAGAACCAGGGCCTGTGGTTTCTAAAGTTGTGTTCTAGAAGAAAATTTCCCTGGATTTGAAATGAGGGCATGTCTTCTGTAAATACAAGCTTGGATCATATAAAAATTGCATCTACCGAGCAGTTGCATCAGCCATTTTATTTTACCATTATTATTTTTTGGAACCAAACTACACAAACATTTGAACACTGATAATACACTTCCAATTCAGCCACTGAGATAGTCTTTATCGTGTTTGAAAATTGGAGTAAGGGTAGTAGGCTTTTGTGATTAACTTGATAATTCTTTCCTCACAGCCTTTGTGTCTTTCAAATTGGCCCCATAAGTAAATCCTATTTATTGATTTTTGTTTTGCAATACACAAAAACATATAATTAAGGAGATATGAGCATCCAGTAGCTGCTACAAACAAAAGAAGTCAAAAGTTCTAGAGAACACTGACATTTTGAGTAGAAAAGAAAGATATATTAAAAGGTCAAAGATACACAAATGTGATATGCACATTTAATTGAAGAACACTCATTCTCCAAACCCTTGAGAACTATTTAAACAACTGAACTACTATACCTTTTGTCAAGAAAGATATTGTTCCATATACTTCAGCATATTAAAATACCTCACAATCTTAGAATGGCATCATTGTGGCTTTTTTTTAGAAAAACTATTTAGTTTGCAGAAAATTTTCTACAGGTATCATTACCAATGAAAATCTATGTTGGGACTGAAACCTGATAAACAGAGGTGGATAAAGCAGTAAAGGACCAAAGATGAAAGCAAGGTAACTGGTCAAAGAAACATCCTAACAGCCTTATCTCCATCAGACTAACTGCTGGCAGATTTGACTTATTAGGACCAGAAGATAAATAAATAAACAAATAAGAAATATTTATAATACAAAGCCACAAATATTATTTTCTGATCTTTACAAAAGTTTTACTCAAAAAAGATGAAGCTTTTAGAAGTATAATGAAAACCCAGATGCTGACTGCACATTCACAGTCAAAAATGGGATATTGTCACTGTTTTGAACAACAGCCATAGGTAACACTGTCCTTTTGCTTCTGTACTTTGGGAGACAGAGTATTGAAAAGGTGTAATTCTTAAGTTTACTGTGTAAAGTAATCTACTTTATTTTATTTCCATGTAAGTTATCTACTAATGCCAAGAAAATGTCTTTCATTCCCCACAAATGGTTAAGATAGCAACAGACCTTAATAGAAGCTGCACTTCCTCTTGCCTTCAAGAGAAGTGGGATACTTCTCATTTGTCAGCATCACAAAATAATTCAAGTTCACTGTCTGTCAACTAAAAAAATCAGTCACTCACTCCAAGAAGTCATATTGGAGCACACAAGTCATCACTACATAAAGTCATTTTCCAAGGCTTTTCAAAACTACAAGCTACAAAAGGAGCTCCATAAGAAGCCAGGTGGCACATGAGCCCATAAGACACCTTTAGACCAATAGCTCAATCATGACTTCATTTACTTCATCCTGTTTATACAGGATCCCTCCAGAACAGCAAACATTTAACCTTCTCAAAACATACATCGCAGCAAATACTTTTTGTCAGGACTAAACCTATGGCAATAGGTCTACCTAATTCCCTCCCCATGCCAAGCCACATTGTGCGCATTTTATCTGTTCCTCTAGTGTGCAGCTACATCCTTTACGTGGTATCATTAGTGTTCTGTGAGGTCCAAAGGAGCTGGCAATCCAATCCAGTCAATAGCTGATCTCCCCAGTACTTTCGTATCTCAGGAAGACGAAAGCTGGCTTTACACATTTCTATAGATCCAGTGTCTCAGAAGAAAAGTTCAAATGCATGCTTTGGATGTGAGCATTGTAATTTAAACAAAACTCTTGAGAGATGTTAACTACATGTTAGTATGACAGTAACGACTTTTATATCCGAATCTAGCATTTCAGTTCTTTAAAAGGCAAAGGATTTTCAAGATTATGTCAATATTCCCTTTTGCACACACCCCAAGAATGCACTTCAGCTGTAAGTGGAAAGGATTTGCTCTTCTATCTATAAGTCGAGAGGTTTAAGATTTTTTAAGAGATAAAGCTCCCTTAAGGAAACATAACCTTCAGACTTGGGCCAAACTCTCTGTACCCTGGTGAACAGCATTACAAAGATCACTGATGGTTCACTGCCCACACTTGCTCCTTGTTGTGGCCACAGAAGGAACACAGATACCAACTTCTCTGCAGAACTGCATGAATGTCAAACACTCTTTCGTGGCTATGCCAGTAGGTAGTAAAGTTGTTAATTTACTAGGGCGCTGCAGGAAACCAAGACAAAAAATTCAGATTATTTTAAGTGAATGAGAACTACAGTGAATCTTCTGGAAACAAAACAGTTTCCAAGTCTTTTGGCATTTACCTAGGAAAAATTTAAGATACAATAAATAAAGAAAATTAGCATTAGCTTTTCAATATATAAGCCTTTACATTTCAATGGTTTAGAGGGATGTTAGTTTAGCAAACTGGTTAAGCTTTAACAGGGAACAGGTGACACTGAGTAACCATCAACATAGCTGACTGAGCCAAAGGTGCCTTTTAGATGCAAATTTCCTTATTTCAAAGAGGCACCTTTTCTCTCAGACTTTAGGACAGCAATGCATTTTTACTATTTATTAAAAGTAATTTGACTAATTATACTTCAGAAAATTGTGGATGACAATTTCTATCCTACCGTGCCCCAAAAAACTAAAGGAAATCATCACAATTGAACAAAATGTGAATGAAGTATACTAATTAAATGGCAGAAACACTGATTTGGCCTGTACCCCTTTCCATGGTAATTCAGTTGTCTGAAAACACCTCAAATAAAATAAAAAAACTTGAGGTATGATGTAACAAGTCATCCTGGATCTCCCTCTATGACTGTTCTAAGTCATAGTGTGTAGCAGCAGGGCACAGCAGCATAACCACTGCTAAAAACCTTCTTGTACCTTTGTTCTCAAAGTACATCATTTTCTTCACTGTTTTTGTTTGAGCCAATACCTCAATTATTATCTGTACTGTGCTATTATTGCTGTTTACCTTCACTCAGCTGCCTTTGATTCAGTAACTTTTATAAATGTTTTTATTACTTGCAGTATTATGTAGTTGTGCCCCTGAAACTTTGTTTAACTACCAAAGCTCCTAAAGTATGAAGAGTTAAAGATAGAAACTAAAGAGATTTATCTATTTATTCATTTGTCTTCATGCAGAAGCTGCTCCATGATGAAGTAAAACTATAAATTGCTTCTTTCTGCAATATAATGCACAGAGAGTAGAGATTATAAAGAAATGGTCACCTCACAATTTAATGCCTTCTGTATTGGAACTGCAATCATGCTTGCAAATGCAGTTGTTTTTTTTCTGTCTGCCAGGTGTTACAAGTTCTATACTTGATTTTCACTAGAACAGAAACAACAGGACTGATGTATACAAGGCCAATATTGACTACTAGTATATTAGCATATTCTTTATCCAGAAAACCATTTGAGCTGCTATACAAAGCTAAAATCATAAGTCTTCAAAACATTTTTGAAAAACACTAGCAGGAAGTTTTCACATAGAACAGAAGCAACAGTGCCAGTGTTAGAAATCTATCTTTTTAACAGGATTTCCATTTAATGCCCCAATACACAAATGAGTCTGGTACTAAGGTAGCTCTGAAGAGTGTTTTGTAACCCACCCTTATTCCATGTCAAGTGACATCATTTACAGAAAGACAGCTACAGCTCCGTGTGCTTTAGTGCCACACACATGCACCTGAATTTTACATTCTGTAAAAAACATGAAAGATCAAAATTAGAGGTGAAGAAACACAAGGAATTTGCAATGCATTCCATATCAAAGTACTCTTTGTATCTAGCTAATGATTTGAGTACCTCCAGGTTTAACTTGCTTGTGTAAGGAAGCACATGGAATATAAATTAGCAGCTTTGGTAGTAGTGAGCATATGACAGGAAATGAATACATATATATTGGTTTCCCTTCCAATAAATTTCACATTAAAACCTATTTATATGAGCTTACTTTAAAAGATTTCAAAATCAGCAGATAAAGCAGAAAACCCAAAGATTTATTACACTAAACATGTGGTCCATTATCTTTCTCTGGAGATTAGTAATCTCTGGAAACCAGAGATACGGGAATTCAAGAGGCAGTACAGTTTGTTCTGTCTTGGCTAACGTTCTGAATTACCTGACATTGCATTACAAGAACTACACCTATGTTAACATTACATTTTATAGTAAAACTTTATCTTGCAGGTCAAACTAACATATCAACTGAATGAGTGCCAGTTTAGGAGCCATGTGCTCATAAAAAACATTAAGTGAGGCATGGCAGCAGTTCATGTTAACTGTTATGAAACACTAGAGCACAAGAGAAATTTGAGACAAATAAAAGACATAAAACTAAACCA